AAAAAAAAAAAAAAAAAAAAAAAAGAAGAAGAAGAAGAATGTATAGCATGTGTTAGTGCTAGTAGATACTAGAACTGAGACAACATTAATTTATGGCAACTCAGATCATTTCACAGGACTTTCTGTGCACATAAAGGGTATGGAAGTCAGCGCATCACTGTCTAGAGAGCTCAGATCACACTGTGTTTTGGTGTTTGGCTCCAGGCCTTTATCATGTCCATGTTCACCCAGTTGTCGAGTATGTCCTGGGGTGGACATACTGGCTGTGCTCAGCTTGACACCACACAGGGTAAATTCTGCTTGTGAATCAACATGGTAAAAAATTCATGGTGGGCCAGATAGCTCAGCAGACTAAAGGGCCAGCTTAGGCAGAGCACAGCGGCCAGGATTTGTTCCTGGTGTGCCATGCCAGCCCCGTCCCCAGGGCATGCTGAGATGGAGATTGAGACTGGGCTTGGTGACACGCCCCTATAATCCCAGCTCTTGAGAGGCTGAAAACAGGAGAATCACTAAGAGTCTGATCTACATAGTGAGACCCCTACACCCTGTACACTTTGTCCTAAATTCATAAAAAATAAAATAAACAATAAGCCAAGTGTACCCACACTGTGCACTGCTGACTCTCCTGAAAATTACTTGGGTTGTATGTGTCAAACAAAATTGACTTCCTGACACCCTGAGGAAATAGCACAGACTGCCTTGACATTTGAGGAAGCAGGGTTGATATGTCCTGAACAGAGCCCTCTTAATTCCCTGGTACGGCCCATGTGGAAGCATGATGGGATAGGAAAATGGCTGTGGATTAGCAGGACCTGAATAAAGCGACTCCTCCACTGTGTGCAGCAGTGCCTAACACGGTAGGCTTGGATTATGTCTCACCCTAATGCTGGCTCAGTACCATTATGTTGTGGATTTGGCTAATTCTTTCTCCACTGCTATTGTGTCAGACAGTCAGGATCAATTTGCCTTCACCTGGAAGGCAGTGGACCTTCCAGGCGTGGCCACAAAGCTACTTGCATAGCCCAACACTGTGCCATGGCATGGAGGCCCAAGACTGCCACCTGGACCAAGCCCAAGTCTATGTCACTGTGCCGTTATACTGATGATACTATGTTAACCTCTGGTTGCTCCACTGACCTTGAAGTCGCCCTGTTGTTAGTTGACCCTACCCCAGCATTTACCCCAGCTGAGTGTAGCCGATGATGGGTTTGGCCTGAGCCCATGGCAGAACCGAGGGAAGCGGAAGCACCCTATTGGATTTTGATCACAGGTATGGAAATGGCGTGAAAGTTGGTACCTTTGATTGAGAAATAGTTGACAGAAGTGTATGCTGCTTTGCATGCCTGTGAGGGGATCACAGGACAGCAAACAGTGAAAAGGTATGCTAAATATCCTGTCGAAGGCTGGGTCCGTACTTTTCCCATATCAGGAGTCGAATGGCTCTGGCTCCCGCCCTCACATGCTGGGGATCACACTTGCAGCAGTGGCCTCCTTGTAGCTAGCCCACTGTCAGCTAAACTGGCAATGTTCTGGTGATCTGTGATGCACAGCACAAGAAGCAATCCAAGATGACACCCAGCCCCTACGCAGAGGGTAAAAAGGGACCTCCAGATGACACCTGATAACTGATGTACTGTTTAACTGTGGCACAGCCTTGCACTGGATACAGTAATGGTCCAGCCCAGTACAGAAATATTCTGGTTTGAAACCAGAAGAGGTAGGTGAAGTCAGAGGTCAGAGCTGTGGGCCATGTGGCTGCCGGTAATGCATGACGTACATCCCCATACATCTGCATGGATGGCTGGGATGTGCTGGGAGGGCTGATGCTCTGGCTGCTGGTTCAGGCATCCCAGTACTGGCAGTAGGGCACCGGCCTTTAGGGGGTGCTGCCATATGGTGCGATTTATGGGAATGTGGCCAAACAACTGACCATGTAAGGTATCCTGTTTCAAGACATAAGTCCTTCTCTCACTGGGGAATGACGTGGTAGATGCCTGATGACAGCAGCCACTTTCCAAGGGCCACCTTGGCTCCACAAGAGACTGAGACACATAAGACCCCATACCATGCAAGCTATAGTGCAGCAGTGGCACCTGGACTTGACTCCTGCTAAGTCAAAGGCTGTGAAAAGGTGTGCTCCAGTGTGTTCAGTTGGCCCGAGGAGAAGGGTGCTCACACAGCTTGGCACACTACCACAGGCACCCCACATGCTTCAGCAACGGCAAGTGGATGATGCTGGACTTCTGCTTCCCTTGTAGGGACATAGGTATGATTTGATGACTGTGGATACAGCCACAGAGGTAGACCTTGCTGCCCTATTCCTTCTGCTCACCAGGTCCATTCCATTAAGGCACTAAAGTGGTTGATGGCCACATATGGGATGCTGCTAAGGAAGAGCGTGTGACCAGGGAACCCATTTCACAGGAGCACAGGTGCAGCAATGGGCAAAAGACAATGATATCAGATGCCACTTCCATGTGCTTTCTCAGCTACAGGCTGTGGCATGACTGAGAGATATAATGGGCTCTTCAAAACCAAACTGATAAAATAAATAAACAAACAAACAGGCCTACTTGGCATCAAAGTTCATGGAGTGGGAACAGGTCTTACCTCAGTCAGTCCAACTGCTCAACGACCAGTCCCAATATGCAGGTGACAGCCCATTGTATCACTTCCTGAAAGCACCAGTTCATCTGTACATCCAATCCACAGAGTGAAGCCATAAAGCAATACAAAGGGCTTTACTCTTAATACACTGGAATGGATAAAGCCAAGAGACTATTGTCAATGGACTTGGGATTGGCCTGCAGAATCCCTGATGGGGAACTGAGTGTACCTTTTGGAGCCCTGGGATGAAGGACTGGCACAGGTCATAGAAGTATAGCACTGGCCTTCAACATGGATCTTAAAGGCTTCAGTGTGCTCTCCACTAGATGCTGGAACCACCATTCTGAAGAGTATTGATGTTGTAGCTGTGTGGCCCATCTCCTGGGAGGTCATGGACCTAGCCCTAACTCCCTTACTGCCAGTAACAATGGAAATCCATGTGAAGTATTCTAAACCGGGGGTAGGATGATCCAGCTACAATCCTATCACAGTCTGAACACATGGCCTGCATTCTTCTGGAAGGGTGGGGGGTCTCCCCATAATGGTTTCTCTTTCTGCCATGTCCTGACCAGGATGAGTTGCACTAAAGCATTTTCTTCTGGGCATACAGGTTTGGCCCACTTAACAATGGCCACATTATTGAATGTGTAGCCATCTGATTGACTCAGCTGAGGGCCTCTTGTAAAGAATTGTGTCCATGTCCTTGCTCAATTGGTCTGGCTGCTGGCACAAAACTGGACCAGCTCTGTCTGGGATCCATTATACCAGGCAACCGAGGCACTGAGCTGAGGGGGCATGACCATCCCACAGAAACTGGGACCTGTTATGTGCAATGGTTGGTGGTGGGTGATGGGAACTCCAGTAAAACTGCTGGTTGCAGCCCCACTTTGTATTCAGCAGATGAACCCATCCGTGGAAAGCCAAACTAAGGGGTGGGTATTCCCTGATATCTGTAATGACACAGTAGTGGGATGGCCAGAAATGTAGCAGTATGCTGAGTGTCTACTGATAGGCCTTTGAGGAAAGCCTTACAGGTCTGTGGCACATGGGTTGGTCATACCTATCTACACAGTGGACAGGTCACTGTACCCAGGGTTTCCATATGTCAAGAGCACTTTCTTTCTTTTCCTTTTTATTTTCAGGCTGGTCTTGAACTCACTTTTTAGCCCAGGCTGGCCTTGAACTCACAGTAGTCCTCCTTCCTCAGCCTGCTGAGTGCTGGGATTACAGGTGTGTGCCACCACACCTGGCTGTTCAAGGACACTTTCAAACTCACCCTTGCAGACACACCCCACAATTGCAATGCTACGTATCACAGGTGGCACCACACCCAATGTGTGACCTTGTGGTTTTGTGCAATGGTCTTAATGTTATCAGAACAGGGACCAGAGACCTAGTCTCGCCCAGCATATGTCCTAGGCTCTGAATGTGAGGCAGCAGGGCCTATTTTATATTACTAATGGGTGAGACATCTCAAATGAGAAAGGTGGTTTTGCAAAACTGCTCTTGATTTGCTGATTGCAGTACAAGGAGGCATTTGTGCCCTCTTACATGTGGAATGCTGTGTTTCTATTCCTGATGATAAGATGCAGGTGCAAGCTCTACAGCACATGGATGTGGAGATGTCTGCCATCCAAGCCTTGAGGCAAGACACCCTCACCCAGTTGGATCCACCTGGAGCCAACTAGGCATAGGCCGCGCCATGGTGGCAATGGGGTTGGTAGTGTCCTGCTATTCCCTGTATTGTTATTGTGGTCTCTGTGCATAAGGGTCAGCTCTATGGGCTTCTTGCAAGAGCTGACTTGCCCTTGACCTTTGAGGGATTGGGATGTGGGACACGGCTTCAAACAGACTACAGCAGACTTCAAATCTCAGGGCACAGGGGCTGGTGAGATGGCTCAGTGGTCTAAAGCACCTACTTAGAACAAGCTTAGCAAAGCACAGGGACCACAGTTCAATCCCAGCACCACATGCCAGCCAACCCCACCCCCTGGTGGGCTGAGCTGGCCACACACACACACACACACACACACACACATAAATAAATAAATAAATAAAATTTAAAAAAAAGATTTGCTAAATCTCAGGGCACAGATAAAGGCACCTCTGACCAGGTTGGAGGACACAACCCTCATGTCTAGCACAGGCACTGACCAGGGGACAGTTACACACAGATGACTCAGCAGTAGGCAACTAATCAAGGACTACTTCACTCAACACGGAAGAACATAAATATGAGAAAACCATCTGTATGAGACTTAAATGATAAAGACACAGACTGCTTTCTGGTTACTTCTAGCCTTTTGAACTAATGTCTGTCTCATGTGCATTCTTTCACTTGGAGACCTCATCTGCCAAAGTACCTCTTCAGGACCCCAGTCATGACACTGAGTTACCCTAAAGCTTCTGCATGCATACATTTGTACTACAGCACCCTTATATTTCCACATGCCCCTCCTTCCAGGACAATCCAAAAACTGCATATCCAAAGGACTGCAATATTCAAACATCCCACTCCCTACTAACTACAGGACCCAGAATCCTCTGAATGTTCCACAAGGACTAGCTACCCAGGATGATCCCCAAGGACTCCACTACCCAGAATCCTCAGTGTTACCATCCTGAGAATTATGATACCCTGAACCTTCCACCGGCTATAGGACTGTAGTATGCACAATCCTCATGTGCCCCCTCAAGAGGAAGGTACCCTGGATCTTTGACAGGCTCCCTCACTAACTCATGTACCCAGATTCCTAAGTGAAACATACCCCAGGACTGTGATATCCTGTTTTTAGTGCTCCTAAATGAAATACAATATCCTGAATTCTTATTTGGCCACTGGGGGATTATAGTGCCCAGAACATCTGGCATGATATTCGCCCCCCTGATCAGATATTCACTCCTGTTTATAATACAATGAGATATGTAGGCAGTCTAAGGTCTCTTGATCTAATAAAGTGGCCTTTTCTGGGCCCTGGTTTCTATAAGCTTTTGGAGTACTATGGATGCATTGAGAATATTTGCCATTTCTGTACAATAGGAGAAATTTTTCCCCAATGCCTTTGGACCTTGGTCTTATTGTTTGTGCTATGCAAAACCTAATTTTCAGCCCACATGGTGATTCATGCTAGTATTCCCAGAACTTGGAGACTGAGGCAAGAGATCAACCATGAGTTCAAATCCTGCTTGAGCTACATTACTGAACTCAAGGTCAGCCTCATCTACATAACAAGACCATGTCTCAAAAAAAGAATACTTTATATTTTATAATTCTGTGTTTTAGGTCATAGTTAGGAAGACATTGCCTTTAATTCTTTTTTGTGCAGATTTTGTGACTTTTTCATATCTAGATCTCTCAATGTTTTAATTTTTGTCCAGTTATATATAATGCCAGTACAAATCCACTTTTAAATTTTTCCTACTTTCTATTTATTTCCTGGGTTTGAAGCATAGTCTTGGGGCCAGCCAGAGAGCTCAGTGGATTAAAGTGCCTGCTTAGGCAGACATAGGGGTCAGAGGTTCAATTCCCAGCCTGCCATGCCGGCCCCACTCCTGGGGTACACTAAGACAGCGATTGAGACTGGGCATTGTGGCGCATGCCTGTAATACCAGTGCTTGGGAGGCTGAAAACAGGAGGATCACTACAAGTCTGATCTGCATAGTGAGACCCTGGAGACCATGTAGACCATGCACTAAAAAATACACACATACAAAAAGCATAGTCTTTATCCTCGAACTTGTGGTTTTAGCCACTGACTTTGTAAAGGAAATTTAGAAAATTATACTTAGTCACTATATTCAAGGACAGGACAGACAGGCCTGAATAAAAAAATCAGTTAGTCTTGGCATTCCAAAGCCAGCTGCAACTTGTAAGGTAAGTGCAACTCAGTCAGACAAGAACTTATCACCTAGAAAAGGACAGGCCAGCTTGGTTTGAGACAATGATGTATCATACCTGCTCACTACACTCCCTGACTTTCCTCTTGTCTGATGAGAACTGTACCCCTCAACCAAATATTCCTGAAAAAAATCTGCCTCACAATGTAGGACAAGATGTAACCAACTATAGAATATCCTGTCATTAGCCTTTTTTTTTCAAAGTTTTATTGATAAACATATAGCAATGAGACAGTTTCAAATCAAATTGAGAGTACAGTTTCAACAAATAATACACTGCAAGTGAAGAGTGATTTTCTTTGTTTTTTTTTTTTTTTTTTTTTTTTTTTTTTTTTTTTGTGGAACTGGGGATTGAACTCAGGTCCTTGTGCTTGCCAGGGAAGCACTTATTCCACTGAACCATCTCCCCGGCATAGCCTTTGTCCTTCCTGCTAACAACATATGTAAGTTTCTGTTTAACCCCAAACTGGGGTTTGTGATTTGGACCTCAGTGTGCCCCAGCCCACTGGTGTAAATAAAACTGTATGCCTTCCAAGTTCCTGTCTATCTTCCATCCTTCAGTGCCATTTTTCTGCAACATTTCTTGGGTGTTTGCCCAGGACACAAAGTGCTGACCATTCTTGTGAAGGCATGTGGGCCATGGCCAGAGCTCGCCTTCTGACCTGTGATGGGAAGGTACACCCTCCACTTCTTTTCTTGGAGTTTCCTCGGTGAGCCAAGAGCAGAAGCCCATGTGACAGCAGTGACCTCACCAGACCCTAGAGGAACACAGTAGGGTCAGCCCTTTTACAAGGTAGACTGTCTCGGGATGCCCCTCAGCTGGCCTGTCCATCTCTGTTACTCAGTTTCCACCCCCTTAGTGGAGGGGAGGAGGACTTGATTAATCCTCACAGCCTGTGTTAGGACAGTCAGTTTCTGCTTGGGATTAGGTTAGGTTTTCCCCTGGGCTTAGGGAGCTGGAATGTTTGGCCTCTGAGTGTCTATGGAATGATTAGGTGAGTGTTTGTGATGGATGATGTGAGAAATAGGTCATTCTATCTGTGCTCCATGGTACAAGCACACCCTGGGAGCTTAGATCTACAGGACTCAATTGAACCTTAATCTATGGCTCCATGGACACATCTGTCTGGGGTACTCCCAACAGGTTCTCTTTAGAAGCCTGAAAAGAGTATAACAGAGGACTAAGCAACACTTTCCTTAGCTCAGATGGTCCCATCATTGCCAAGAGGCAAGTGGTCAAGCAGGCATCTGAGTGGCCTCTCATTCATGAGAGACATCCCTTCCTTTGTTATGACTCTGCTCAAGGGCCCACAACACACACTATAGGAAGAGAGGATGGGTGCAAGCCATATTAAAGTGAACCTCCTCAATGTAAGATGAAAATCTCCAAGAAAGGCTTTGCAGGACACAACAGAGTGATTATGAAACTTCAACACCTCTGCACCTTCTGTGAAACTGAACAGCTGTGCCTATGCCCTAATTGGCCACGAGAGGGCAGTCTAAACCTAGAAATTATTCACCAGATTTGGAGTAGGCGATTAGGTGGAACCAAACCTGGCAAAGAAAGCTGTCCTGAGCAGTTCTCCTACAACAATTCCTGGCTGAATCTATGTCAGAATCTACCGAGCTGGGAGGGCGGCTCTTGTGGAGGCAGCTAATGCGAGGCTGGGAGCCTGAGCTTCGCGTCATGCCCTGCGCTGCCCAGACTTGTGATCAATACAGTCAGGATGGCTAAAGGGGACCCCAAGAAACCAAAGGGCAAGATGTCTGCATATGCCTTCTTTGTGCAGACCTGCAGGGAGGAGCACAAGAAGTACCCGGAAATACCTGTCAATTTTGCAGAATTTTCCAAGAAGTGCTCAGAGAGATGGAAGACGATGTCCGGGGAAGAGAAGTCCAAGTCTGATGAAATGGCCAAGGCAGGTAAAGTTCGCTATGACTGTGAGATGCAAGATTACGGACCTGTGAAGGGAGGCAAGAAGAAAAAGGACTGCAACGCTCCCAAAAGATACCATCTGGATTTTTCCTGTTTTCTTATGAATTCTGCTCCAAGATCACATCCACCAACCCTGGTATCTCTATTGACGATGTGGCCAAAAAGCTAGGTGAGATGTGGAATAATTTAAGTGACAGTGTGAAACAGCCCGACATCATCAAGGCCAAGGTGAGGCTGAAGGAGCAGCATGAGAAGGGTGTGGCTGACAAGTCTAAAGGACAGTTTCATGGTGCAAAGGATCCTGCTAAAGTTGCCTGGAAAAAGGTGGAAGAGAAAGAGGAAGAAGGGGAGGAGGAGGAAGAAGGGGAGGAGGAGGAAGGGGAGGAGGAGGATGTCTTCTTGTGAATCCCTCAGAGTAGGGGAGAGCCGTGACTGACCATTTCTTAGGTTAAACGCCAACCGGATTGCAATCGTGTAGTCTCTCAAATGCTCCAGAAGCTGGCGGTAGTTGCTCACCGTGGCCATGGGGGTCGGGATGCTGTGAAATTGTATCAAAGCTGTACATATTTCCAAACATTTTTAAACTGAAAGGCACCCTGTGTTCTCCTCGCTCTGTGCACTTTGCTGTGGCTGTGAAAAGGCATTTGGAGATGTCCCTGGCATTCGTTTTTTAAGTTGTAAGGTGGTGTTAACTGTAACGTCATTGGCTAGAATCCCTGAGTTACCAACTGTACACATCTAGAGTTTGTAAAAAGAGCAGAGCAACCCAGGCAAGCCCTCGATGCTTCCTGCCTGGCACTGAGGTCGGGGTGAGGGGGCAGATGCCACTGAGAAGGGACCTTAGACCTGTTGCTG